CACCCAGCCTGTGGCACTTCTATTTAAAGAAGTCTCTGGAAATACTTAGCTCCATCCCAGTGCGATGCACTTGCTGTGCTCACCCGAAGATGTACGGATGTAAGGCTGCCTGGCTCTGCTTATTATCAAGAGGGTCAAAGACAATGACAACATCTTCAACAGAGCCTGGCAAAAAGACCTAAAGTAGAATTCTACTAATATCCTCCAATAATTAGGTTTATTTTGTTCAAGATTAATGCTGAGGCACACATCTGCATAATAATTTAAATATTCCTTGCTAATGTAAAACAAATACATAGTCTCTAAAAATGCACAAGTGGAAAACTTGAAAAACTCTTATTTAAGACAGAGTAACAAGAAACACTATTATGTTCTCACAGCTATAATAAAACAGCATACAAAACTCTTAAGAATATTTAGGATTCCCACTTATCAATACAACTTGAAACTGATTTGATTTTTAGTTTTGGTTTTGTTATCTGGCTGATTCTCTATATAATGTCAAATCTTTTATTAACACTTTCAAGGGATGTGGGATTTTATGAGCATGGTAGACCTTTAAATGAGCTGTTTCCCCTAAGGTGTGAGTTCTAAGAAGGCTACTGTTTACCAAGAGCCGGCTGGCTCTCTGTATCTACTGAAAATGTCAAGAATGAAAGCAAACTCAAATTCAGATGCTTTATGTCCTAAAGGAACTTAATATGAAGTTGTTTTTTTTTAAAGCCATTGTAGCATAAATGTAATTAAATATAAATCTAAGTTTATACATTACTGTTAGGAAAAAGTCACAAGTAGATGGGTTCCATCTACTGCACACCATAACGTAACTGATACTGGGAGTTTGAAGCCATTTGTTTTGCAAGCTCAGGTGAGTAGAATATGGAGTTACAAAACCAGTTTCCAATATGATTCTTTTCAGACAAGTTTAAACAAACAAAAGTCAGCCCCAAAGTTCAGTCTCACTAATCCAGTCACAGGCTCTGAATTCGGGAACTCCCTCCTCTGTCCATAAGAGAAAAGGGTGAGCCTGTGCAGATGCTCACTAACAGAACACCACTTCAAAGGATAAATTGATCACTACCCCAATCAGAAATTATTGCTTCAGTAGAAATCTCTTTTTTCCTAGAAGGCAAAGCAAAAGCCAAAGACAGCAAGAGAACCTGTTTGGGCTTTGTTGTTGTCTGTTTATAAGACTGGGTCTCCTATGTAACCAGGCTGGCCTTTGAACTCAGAGACCCATCTACCTGTGCTTCCCAAGAGCTGAGATTACAGACATGCACCATGATCCCCAGCTCTACTTAGGTTTTGCAGATCATCAGCTCATCACCCTCATCCCAATGGCTTTCATAATGTTCTGCAACTCTGTCAAAATAATAACTTCTCATCATTCTTTAAAATTTTTTATATTGTTAATTAATTTCTTAGTTCACAGTTTTATTTTTTTAATATTTAAAACAATACTTTTGTTAATTATTTAAGAATTTGATATATCATAGAATACATTTTAAGCATATTCACCTCCATCCCTTCCCAACTTCATGTCCACTTTTTTAATTTTAGAAATTTTATTATCAAAAGATTTGCAAATAAATAAAAGTATCACACATCAAAATTAATTGATACAAAGTCTATAGGAGGCATCTGGAATGGAAGCTGTGGCGCTTCACATTAACTTTGATATTTTATGAACACTTTTGAGGGATGGGAGCTTTATAAGTATGGTATGCCTTTTCCCCCCCTAAATAACTCATTGAGTCCAATTTCTGCTTCCCATATACTCAAGGATGTGCACACTGGAGTGTGTTTGACCTAATAGGAGCCCCAACCCCTAATGACAATTGACTCCCACCTCCAGAAGCCATCCACCGTCAATAGCTCTCAGGTAGGGGTGCGGGTTTGTGATCCCCACTGCCCTCAATGCAGGGGTGTGTACTGGTTGGATGCTGACAGGCTGTGTGCAGGCAACAGCTGCTGTGACTTCAGGAGTGCAGTGGTTCTGTCATGTCCAAGACTTTCCTCCAGTCCCCCTTTCACTCCCCCACCAATCTTTGGTTCTTACGATCTTTTTGTCCCTTTTCCAAAATGTTCCCTAAGCCTTGGAGGGAGGGGATACAACATAGGCATCCTCTTTGTGGCTGTTTCTCATCATTCTCCACTGACATATTTCCTCACAATAGTGAAATGTGGATAAAAAAACTTCCTAATAACAGTTAATATATTGAGACAGTTCAGATGACAATTAAATGTGAATGTTAGATATGAAATCTGTTAAAGCTCCCAAGTAGTAAGTGTATGGAGGAAGTTCCCTATTTTATGTCTACTAGCCCATCCCCCACCTGTCTATCATCTACCAGTCATCTCTACATTAACATGTGGTGGCATCATAGGTCCCACAAAGAAATACATAATCTGAAGTGAAACCATAACAGTATCTATTACCTTGATTTTTTAAAGTGTCCATTAAAGTCTGAGTAACATTTCTAAGGCAGGAGAATGATAAACGTTCACTGGCCAAAATGCTTTCCAGAGCCTAGAAGAAATAGAGTAATTCTAGTGATTATATGGCAACAAATTTGCTTTTATTTTATACATATACCTATATCTTTGCAATCCACAATTTCAATACACACACCTGAGAATTCAAGTTATATCAAAAGCAGTATGTAACCAATCCTATGTCCAGACAGAGAATGAAACAATTAGAGGGCAATTGCTGGGTCACAGAATGCCACGCAGCATGGAGAGCACAGCTGTTCTCCAACACAAAGTCTGAATTGGCCTCTACCAGGAGTGAATGAGAAGCAGAGGTTACTGGCATGCCAGTTATAACTTCATTCCCACTTGCTGCATATGCACATGCTGCCATTTCCGCATGGCTAGCTAGACACAGTATCCACTCTACCCTCCCCACTCTCACTCCATCCAGATGTTTAAACATCTTCAATTTACAGGTTTTAAAATACCTCATCATACCTGAGGTAGCGGCCAGGGGAGACATCAATGAGTCAGGACAGTTAAAGTTCATGTTTACCTTTGTGTACTAGCATATTAAATTGGACTTTAGCTGCTGAGACACATAGTTTAAAACCCCTAACCCTATGCTGGCTGTGGTGGGGCATAGGACTCCCAGCACTCGGGAAGGCAGAGACAGGCTGGTCTCTGTCAGTTCTATGTAAGCCAGAGCTACAAAGTGAGACTGGTCCAAAAATAAATAAATATCAGTCTCATAACACAATGATTTCTATGTTTGGGGGTGAAACGGGCACAGAAGGTGACTCCCAAAACTACCAGTCCTATTGTGAGGCGACTATCCACAGTATAGAAAGAAAGTGACCAAAGAGACCAGAACCCAGGATAAATGTAATCCTCTTCCGGCCCGCCAACAGGGTGGGCTGGTGGGCGAGCACACTTTCTTCCCATCACTGGACTCAGTCTCCTACAGTCTTTACTGAACTCTGCCTTTCCTCTAGTGTTGAAAGGCAACAGACATGTTGACTTTTCTAGCATTTTAAATAAAATCCATGCTTTTGTGTATGATTTGGTGAGAGAGAAAGAGAATCCTTCGTAAGACAACTTGTGCCCAGCCATCCCAGCTCTGCTGCTCTGATGGGATACAGCACCTCTAATTTCTAACAATAATCTCCTGAGTGACAGGTGTTAGGAGAATCTGTTCTAATGACTGGTCTTGGCCTCCACTCCTAGAACAGGTGTGCTAAAACCCTGCAGAGAGAGAAGCTGGGAGAATGTTCTGCTGGAACATTTAGTGTTTGCCCCCAGATTCCTGACACAGAACCCCTTAGACCTGTGTAGCTCCATGGGAGAGAACACAAACACCTTCTGTTCAGTGAGGTAGTCTCCAGCAGAGTCTCAAGATGGGGCTAGTTGCCATGGTAACCATCCAGGCGATTAGAGAATTATAATTTTTAGACCACTCCTAACCTCTGGGGAGGAGAAGCACTTAAGGAGAAGTTGACCAATAATAGTCAATGATGCAATCAATCATCCCTAAGTAATGAAACATCCATAAACTCTTGCAAGGATAGAGGTTTTGGAACTTCAAATCGTGCTAAGGCTTTATAACATGCAGAGGCTCCTGCAGGGGGCCGGGAGGCCACACCCCCTTCTCCACAAGCACTGCCCTGTACACCTAGCCAGTTGTCAGTATTCTTTATAATATCTGCTTCAACATACAAACACAAGAATTTCCCTGAGTTCTGGGAGCCACCGTAGCAAACAAGAGCAAAGGACAGGTCATACAGAATTCGTAGTTGGGCAGAAGCACAACAGCCTGCTAGTTGTTACTGGCATTTAAAAGTGGGGAAAGTTTTATGGGCCTGAGCCCTCCAGGTCAGTAAAGTCAAAACTGATCTTCAACAATGAGCTGGAAGACGTGACATGCTGAGACTGTGGTGCACAGGACTTAGCAGTAAAGTGCAGTTAGGAGAAGCAATCTGCCGTCTGCTGACAGAGCTGAGGAAACAGCCTAGTAGTTCCACTCTGTGTAAGTTCAGGACAAACCTGCAGCATGTGTACAGGAAACACACAGTCATGGTTTCACTGAGAAACCAGAAGCAGCCTGAACGGTTCAACGGCAGGAGAGTGAACATGAGCTGCAGCATGCACGTTAGCAGGTTGCAACTGCAGTGCCATTAAGCATGCGTCACCCACAGCAACACACTAAAAACAAGTCACAGAACACAACAGACAACGTGTCTCCAACAATAAAAGGCTGAAAACACATCAAGACCTGTCAGAGGAGCCGCACAGAAATGAGGCATCAGTAAGAAAAATACAAAGCTCCTCAGGGATGGAGATGGGTTGGGACTGAGGAGGGACAGCTGGGCTGTCAGAGACTATTTCCTCAGGTGATAGTCACACACCTGTATTTATGCTATTATGTTTCCATTATTCCAGATTTATGTATGGATGTGCATGTATAAAGCACATGCAATCACATATATAGTAATATAATAAGTTTTTTTTTTAAAAAAAAAAAAGAAACAATAGACACTCCTACATGGGGATATGAAAATAAATTTTTCTCAGGATCAAGTGATGTGTCAGTTTCTCAGCAGGAAAGTTCACTTAATATACACACTTACTTGTCTCTTGGTTGCGGGGTATTTAATATCAAGGATCAACTCCTTTATTTCCGTTTCAAATGAATCTACAATGAGAAAATCCGATTGGAATTTTCAATTTACTGAAGGAAGAAGTTTCTCTGAAAGAAAATGAGCTCTCAGCACTCTGCCACTCTAAAGGATGCACAGGGGCCCTCGCGTTATCATTTTACCGAGAATTTTAATAACTCCAAGATCAGCAGCTCTCAACCTGCAGGTCAGGACCCCTCTGAAGGGTGGAATGACCCTTTCACAGGGGTTGTATTATCAGATATTTACATTACGATTCATAACAGGAGCGAATTTACAGTTATGAAGTAGAAATGAAAATAATTTTATGGTTGGGGTCATTACATGAGGAACTGTATTAAGGGTCGCAGCATCAGGAAGGCTGAGGACCACATCATCCTCTCAGAGCACTGACAGAAGATGCACGTCCCTCATCTCATCCTGGAAGAGGTCGAGACAGCTCAGAACGCTCAGGTACTTTGCTGCACTCACAACGCCATGGCGTTATCACTTGATCTGACAGAGGCACCTACCGAGCCCCCCGGGGGACCTGGTTTTCAGCAGGGCCGCCAGTTTCTTCACCAGGTGCAGGTCCTTGGCTCTCTCACTCTTCTTGTCACTAAAACAACAAACACAACTTACTGTACAGTATGCATTTGTGTTCTTTCTACTCCTTTTTTGTTTATACGCTTCCTATTGAACTTTAAGGATCATCTAGTGATAAAACAAACCACAAAGTACTAACTATAAAACAAACAAAACAAAACAAAAAAACCCAAGGTAAAGAACAAAGCAAAATGTGCACAGGAAACTCGTAGCAGACACAAAGCAACTCTTACCTCAGTGCTAAATGGAAAGGCACGTTCACTGTTTTCACACTTGCAGACACCGGGTCAACAAGACAGATCTGGTAAGTCTGAGGCTGCCAACTCTGACTTGTCACATTGTTTAAGCCCATGATTTTGTAGCCAGGATACAGCAGCCTAGGGCAATCACATACCAGTGGGTGGTTATCAGCAGCAGCAGTCAAAATTCCACGAGGTGCTCTGACCGCAGCTACATCTTCATCAACTCAGGGCTATCTATCCACTGGGCAAATACACACTGATGCCAGAAAGCTAACTGAGGCAGAACTAACTCAGAAGGAGGAGTCTACTCTCCTCAAAGGTTCTAGGAAACTGTATGAAGACAATCAAATCTGAAGCCCAACAGCAAATAAAGCGTGTGCCTTGCTTAGCATCATCACTGGGAAACTGGTGGGTTCTTCCTTTGGGGTCTTCACAACATAAGCAAAAGACAAACGGCTAGAGCAAGCTCACTAGACCAGTAGCAGACCACAGCATTCTCAGTAACATCTCTCTGCCATGTAACACATAACCTCAATCATACACCAGGCACTCCCAGGGAAGACACGACAGCGCACTCTGCAATTCTCCAGCGCCCTGCAATCTGCTACACGGCTTTCATGAAGGCTTTACGGAGAGCTCCCTTGCGTGTCTGTGACCAGTGACTGCAAGGGCCGGCAGCTTACCTGCAGTGCTTACCCACGTTGAAAGCTCCCACCCTCGGTCCTTGCTGTGTGTTCCACACTTCCAGAATTCCCCTCCTCGGCGCATAGATCACGAGGAACTGAGCTACTCGACTAGGACCTTGATTATTTCCAAAGGGGGAGAAATCCCCCTTTTCTGGTACTCTTTCATGAAGGTCCTCTACAATTTGAATCCATCCGATCTGTGCATCTCGGTACCCTTGCAGACAGAAAGAGGCAGCTAGTCAGTTTATTCTTCTAGGCTCAACAGTAGCTCCGCATGCACTTCTGACTACTTAGGGGGAAGGAGGGCATCAGGACAAGCCAGAGAAGTACATTTATCTTTTTATTATTAGAGATCTTAAACAGAAAAGATAAAAAAGTAATGACCTGTCACCCTAACATCAAATTTTAATATTTCACCATGTATATCTGCTTCAGATCACTCTTTTCTTTAAAAAGAAAATACTGCAGACATCACCAAAGCTTCCTGAGTCCATCCCTGCTGGCTCCCATTCCCTTCCTTTCCTCTCTTTCAAAGATTCCTTCCCTTACAAACAAACAAACAAACAAAAAAGGACATGGCAGAGTATTGGTTTGGCTAGCTAAAAATAAGCAAAGGCAAAGTCATCCTCCCGCTACCCAAGCTCCCTGGTGGACAGAAGATGGAGGCAGGAGGCAGAGTAGACTCGGGATGCTAAGAGCTGACGCTGCCTTGTCTGGGGCGGCCCTCTGAGAACTAACACACACGGGAAGGGCTGTGACTGAAGCAGCTGCAAACCTCAGGCAGCACTGTCAGCGACACAGCGGCCTTACAAGGGAAGGAGCGTTGCAGGGACACGATGCGATGATGACAGACCTGAGTCGGTGCAGGAGAAAGGTCCGGGGCATTAAGTTAAGATGTGTTACCTTTGTTCACGCTGTGGGACATTTGTTTAATGATGCAAAGATGTATTGCATTCTTTTATGCTGCATTTGTTTAACTCTGTGAAGCTGTGTTACTTTGCCTGTCTAAAACACCTGGTTGGTCTAATAAAGAGCTGAATGGCCAAGGCGGGAGAGAGAAATAGGTGGGGCTGCTCGGCAGAGAAAATAAGTAGGAGGAGAAATCTGGGGAAGAGCGAGGAGTGAGAAAAGGAGGAGAGGAGGACATCAGGGGCCAGCCACCCAGCCAGCCACAGAGTAAGAAAGAAAGAAAGATATACAGAATAAAGAAAGGTAAAAAGCCCAGAGGCAAAGCATAGTCAAAGAGAAATGGTATAATTTAAGATAAAGAAAGCTGGCTAGAAACAAGCCAAGCTAAGGCCAGACATTCATTAGTAAGAATAAGTCTCTGTGTATTTATTTGGGAGCTGGGTGGCGAGCCCCCAAAGAGTGGGAAAAAAAAGAATCAACTACAGTTAAAAGTGTCTGTGATGAGTTGGAGGTAGAGTGCAGTGGGGGCATGCACAAGGCCCAGGGTGCAAAGCCTAGCACCACATAAACAACATAAAACCCAAACTAACCAACAAAAAGCCACTGCTTTAATTGATGATGTATCAATTAACGACCAGCCAAGTGTTGTTGACCTGAGTTGATATTAAAAAGAAAAGTCATAGAATTCTGAATACTGTTATTAACCAAGAGTGGAGGATGATAAAGTTGCTCAACTACTGGGGTAAAAAGAAGTGAGGCAACTTTTCCCTCCATTTTTGTAGGGAAGTACCTTTCCACATCCGTATTGCAATCCCTCGAGCGACGTCCAACAAAATAACTCTGCCAAAATCATCTGTGACTGCTGCCAGGGTGTTACAAGGAGACAGGCATATGCTTTCTCCATGGCGTCTAGAATCCGGAAGTCCAAATCTATCATTAAAAAAAAACAAAAACAAAACAAATAAAAACTAAAATCACACCCAAAGCTAGAAATGTAGAACAATATAATTCACAAATAAAATAGACATATCTATTTCTAAATGAAGAAATACACCTTGCCTGGATTGATAACTCACCATAGTCGGCATTTGCAACACAAAATACCTAAAAGAACCATGCTCCCACAGTACTGTTTTGTCCTTCCCGTCTTTCTTTGAGTAAGAGTCTTGTCGTAGAAGACAGCACAACCAACTCTGCTGCAGGATGCTCTGCCCCAACACAGGCATCTTCTGTTTCAGTCACCCAATGTGTTCTCTTTGTCTAGACACCAATACATCTATCTGTGATGGTTAATCTTGACGTCTGAAATGGTAAGAACTTGGGACACTTCTGGGGTGTCTGCAGTGTGTTTCCACAGATGACTAGGGAACATGGGCTCTGACCTTGGACAGAGTAATCCCTTGACAGATTTAGGATACGATGGCATCATTGAGAGGTGGTGAAAATCAGAAGGGGACACCTAATTGAAAGCTGTAGGTCACTGGGGTGGGGGTGGGGGGTGTGTGTCCTTGGAAGCTGTATCTTGCTCAGGCCTCTTCCTGGATCCCATCCTTCTGCACTCAATTAAGAAGTTAATGGCTCTCCTTGGCCACATTTCCACTGTAGTGATGTCCTCCTCAAGAACAGTGGATCAACTGACAGTGGACTGAACCCTTTTGGAAATGTGGACCAAAACAAATTTTTCCTGCTTTAAGCTGTTTTTGTCAAATATTTTGACCTTAATAACACAAAAGTAACTAACCCTCTGTCTGAAGCAAGAACTTTCTACAGAGTTTCTGCTAAAGTGCTATTGGACTGTAACCAACTTATGAGAATTCTCAGTGCGCCAGAAGCAAACAGGGAATGAAAAGGAAGGGAGCTCACACAGAAAAAGACCTTGCCAAACTTGGTCACATCAGCGATCAGGTGTGTTGTAACATATGGTAAGGGAGGCTGGGAAACGGGTCAGTGTGGTGCTTGCCTCGCATGAAGGAAGTCCCAGAACTGTCCAGAAGAAAAGCAACTTCCTTTGCTTAGAAAGTAATGAATGAAAATCTACAAACCTCAAAAAACTGATTTTACTAACAGTTAATTAGTTGGCTTTCTCCAGGTGAAGAACATCTTTAAAAAAGGGAGCTGCAGTGTTACTTCTATGGTGGTATTTTGTATTAGGTAATAAGCGACAATTAAAAAGAAAGCTAAGCAGAAATCAAGCTCTCTCTTCCCCAAAATTAAAGTAACAACAAAACTGATACACTTCTATGTTCTAGAGCAAAACAAGAAGGAAATCTAGTTCTGAAGGGCTACCCTCACCACAGAACTCATGATCTGGTTGGAAAAGAATTCCACATGAGGAGTAATTCTAAGGAGCCCGCAGAGTCACGGAATAAGAAAATCAACTATGGCCCAAGTTAGTGTAAATATAACAGCGCTGCTCAAAGCAGCCAGAGAGAAACAGAGACGCGCTCACAGACTTGCCTCACAGCTAGGGGAGTGGCTGGCTCCATCTTGGGCTTCTGCTTCTGGCCAGTTTCTTCTTCATGCTTGCTTTTCCAACCAAGCCAACCACTGAAGGGAGAGGACACACGTTAAGTAAAATAAACTAGGGGCACGATTTCAAGGGTCTTAGAGTGCAGACTACCAAAGTCTAGGCACAATCCAGCCAGCCCAAATCAGACCATTTAAAACCGCAGCTTCATTACCTGGCAGCGCTAAAGAGAGCGGAAGTCAGTTTACTTGCAACTGCAAGTGCAACATGAGACAGCAGCGGCTGAGTGCTCCCCTGCAAAACAGGCACGCGCACAAAACTGAGACGGAGCTTGTCTTTTACAGGAGACTTACATAAATGCAAGTTGCAAAGTCTGCACCAGTGGCTCTTTATGGAGGCATCGGCCTCAGTTGCAGCAACAAGACTGAGTAAGGCTAGGATTTAGAGGTAAAATCCGCTAGCAGCCCAAGGTGCTCCCCAAGTATTTTGGCCTCAGCAATGCAAACTAACACACTGCCTGAAGCAAGGACTTCCTGTTGTGCCGAGCTGATGCTGGCCTAGAACCAACCTTTGGGGTTTCTCTCTTTAACTGTAGCTTAATGAAAACCAAGGAGGCTGTGCTGTGGATTTCCCAGTGGTACACAACTAGCTCTCCCATGCCCCTTTCTTTTTTAGTAAATATACATTTGTATAACAGTAAAAAGACAGTTCAGCCCATCCAGAGAAGGCTACTTCTTAAGTGAGAGGTGTTGCCAAATGTAATGGTTAACTTTTCTCTATTTTAGGAAACAATTTTCAAAGCTTATATCAACAATAATGGGAGCTTGCTCTGTCTCACAGTTCATTTATTCTAATCCCTGGTGGGTGGACATAATCAACCCGCAGCTGCACCAATATTTAAAAAAATGTAGCTGTCAAAAAACTTAGGGCTTCAGAGACCAAAAATTATTGGTTTTACCTTGGGTTTCTGTCACACACACACACACACACACACA